TTTTTTTTTTTTTATATTTGCTGTATTATATGTTTGGATTAAATACTTATAGATACTGAGCAGTAAAATTTGAAAATTGTTTAAAAGCCGTAATTGTAAACAAAAAAAAAAAATTTCTTTAATGAAGCGATATATTTATTTTGTTGTATTTTTTTCTATGTTCATATTTTCTGCTATAAATGATTGCTGCAGTTGACGGGTGCAGCAAATAGTTTATGATTACTGCAATCAGAAGCATATAACGAGTTACATCATACTACAAAAATAGTGCTAAGAAATTTATGAAACAGTAATTTTATAAAGATTTTGAGGTCATAATAATGCGGGTTTTTTTTTTTTGTTTGAATAATTAACGATAGGCAGAGAGTAATGGCACCAGATAAAAAAGAACGTCAAGTATTATGAGAGTGCAAAATGAACTTCATTTCAAGGAGAAAAAACAGTTTATATAAACAGAATACCACAGTAATTAACAAGTGTAAAGTTCTGATATTAATCCCTGAAAAGCACAGACTTTTACCTATTAAAACTTTATTTAAAAAAAAAAAAGTTTTTTTAACCACTTAGTGAGAAACCACCTAAAAAAACCCATCTTTTAACTGTTAAGAGAAAAACTTTGTTTTTTAAGTCCTATTTTAATCCGGAGAAAAAAAAATAAGACCATTTTTTTTTGCACTGCAACATTATTATTGAAATTTTAAAAGATATTTGAAGCTGATAAATTGTAAGGATTCAACAGTTGGAAAACGTTTGCATTTTGACACTACCATTTCATAGCTGTTGAATGAAATTAGAGCGAAGTTTTGGATTCAAATTAATTAAGTCTAAATTAATCTTTTTCATTTCATTATTTCCGGGTTCTATAATAAATACATCAGTGATGTTTTGCCAAATTTCTTTACCAAAAAGCAGTGGTAAGCTTGATTATCGGACGGAAGAAGCGCCGTAGGAAAAAGGATAAGTTTCACAGCCAGCAATACAGATAAGTTACGAGGTTATCCTAAAAAACAAAAACATTTCTTCTTGCTCAGTTATAGTCATCTTAATTTTTGAGCTTATTACAGTTTAATTTGCACCTTATTACCTTATGAAGACAGTAAATCGTATATTTTAGCTTCTACTACAGTCGTCCACTTTGTAACCTATCTTTTTATTGAAATATTGAGATAAATTTTATTTAAAAGCACACAGACACAAATAATAAATCAGGTTTGCTTTTAGTTGTTACAATTACTACTTATATCAGAAGCATGAAAGAATAACTTTTAGCACGTTTTAACTCCTTTAATGAGTTGCTAATAAATTTAAAGAGTCAGTTGAAATGTGTGCAATTCGACTTGGAATAATTCGCATTCATGCAGGATTCTAAAATTCTATCAAAGTGCTGAAATGTTAATAAACGAGATTGATCACTATTTTCGTCTAATTACTCAAATGTCAAATAATGTAGAATAACCAACAAGCGCGATTCAGTTTTATCTTCTGCTTCTTTCTACATCTTGCACTTTTCATTCATACAGTATATCAAAGTACACTGGTTTTCCTCTTCAAGGCAGTTTTTAAAATATTCGTTTTAACTACCTTTGTCTACAAGGTCAATCTGGTGTCCGGGTGCTTTTCAAGATTCAGATGTAACAAAAAGAATGACTTTCTTTTTATACTTGTTCTCAGTTTTGATCTTTGAGAAATAAGTCAGTTGCCCCGTTGTTGAAGCGATAGCACAAATTTTGTATGCTTTTCTTCAGGGCTTAAGAAGTAAATTAGTCTGAGAGGCAACTAAGTTACAGCGGTACAACAAAAAGCTTTATCGTCTCAGTAGTAGTTAATGGGATAACTACAAAATATGCTAACAAAGTTGCACTATCAGATATCATTCCTTTTTCTATCGGTAAATTGGCATCTTTCAAGTCAATTTTTTTTTTAACATCTTTTGAAAAATACATTTGAAAAAAAGAAATCTGACTTGAAAGATGTCAATTTACCGGTAAAATTTTATTACAAATTGTTCCACTGCTTTTAGTCTTCATAGAACAGGGAATGATATCTGATTATGCAACTTCGTTAACATATTTTGTGGATATCCTATTAAACTATCAAAAAATGCTAAAAAAGCTGAGAAGCATAAAAAAGATAAAAGCAAAAAAATTTTGTTTTTTAAAATGTTTTTTTAAAGCTCTTATCAATAAAGTTGGAACCCATGCATTGACATTCATTCAACATCTTAACACCCTTCTAAAGTTGATAAAGTGTTTTCAGTTTTTAGAAGGAATCCTGTGAAACAGTTGCTTAAAACAGCTATTTGTTGGGGTTTACTGGTCTTATATTTAGTTAACCTTGTTACCAGCATCAATCGTAATATTCACCTTACTTTGACTTATGATAAAAAACTGAAAAAAAGAGGGGAACATAAATTACAAATTGATAAAATTCCAGAATAAATAAATTTTGTCTTTTTTTACCGTTAGTGGTTTTTGATACATATTATTAAAC